CTCCCCCTCTCATGCTCTCTGTCTCCCATTCTCTCTCTCAGATAAATAAATAAAAAGTCTTTAAAAAAACAAAACAAAACAAAACAAAAACAACTCAAAATATCCATTGTCAACAAAATGAGAAAGTCATGTTATATTCATACAAGGGAAGATTACACAGAAGTGAGTATTGGATGAATTACAGTTACAACGTGGGTGAATCTTGGAAATGTACCATTGAATGAAAAAGCAAGCCTCAGGGGATGCCTGGGTGGCTCAGTTGGTAAAGCATCTGCCTTCAGCTCAGGTCATGATCCCGGGGTCCTGAGATCGAGTCCCATGTCCGGCTCTCTGCTTGGTGGGGAGCCTGCTGTTTCCCCTGCTTGCGCTTTCTCTCTCCTGGGCAAATAAATAAATAAAATCTTAAAAAAAGAAAAAGAAGGGCGCCTGGGTGGCTCAGATGGTTAAGCGTCTGCCTTCGGCTCAGGTCATGATCTCAGGGTCCTGGGATTGAGTCCTGCATCGGGCTCACTGCTCCTTGGGAGCCTGCTTCTCCCTCTGCCTTTCTCTCTCGCTCTGTCTCTCATGAATAAAAAAAAAAAAAAATCTTAAAAAGAAAAAAAGAAAAAGCAAGCCTCGGAAGGATACCCACGTTATACTATTCACTAAAAAAGTACTTTTTGTTACGGAAAATTGAAAACATCAACAAAAGCAGACAGAATGGTATGATGAACCCCACATCCCTATCACCCAGCTTCAATAATTATTAACTCATGGAAATCCAGCTTCACTTATACGCCACCCCTCCCCGCCCCTCTTGTATAAATTTGAAGCAAATCCCAGACTTCATTTCATTCCCTCAGTAAATATTTCTTTTTGAGAGGGAGAGGGAGAAGCAGACTCCCTACTGAGCAGGTTGCCCAACCCAGGACCCTGAGATCACCACCTGGGCCAGGAGGCAGACGCTGGACCGACTGAGCCACCCAGGTGCCCCTCCCTCAGTAAATGTTTCAATACATCGCTCTAAAAGATTCTTGAACTCTTTTTTTTTTT